AGAGTTGAGTCTTTGTTCCCGACTCCCAGAATGCGGCTTAGGATAGAATATGGAGAGAAATATGTCCTGATGGATGTGGGATTGTGATAACACTTTAGAGAGGGCTTGGCTGCATCTTGTCCTTAAGAATGTCATATAGGATGTAAGAATGTCAGGACCCAGAGCTCCAAAAACCTCCTTGCCCTCCAGCCCCCACGGGTTAACCAGAACCTGTAAGCATCACCCATTAAGGGTGATGCTTACCAGTTAACTGGTTAAGCTTTCACATCCCTACTGTGTAGTGCCAAGTAATGGGACCCCAAAGACTGGTAAATCCTGGTTTCGTGACTGACTGGTGTTAGTGAAACCCATGTCAGAGATGGAGATCAATACAACAGAAAGAAGGGCTTGCCGTAAGATGGACCCAGCTGTCTAGCAACCACAGGTGCCTCGACTTCTCAAAGAACCCAGCACTGTCATATGAATCAGCTTCCAGGCTGCTTCAACGGTCTCCATAGTGGAGGGAAGCTGAATTTCCCAGCCCATGTTGGTCTGCGAGTGGTGCTGGGTTGGACTTGACTGAACCTCTTGTGGGGCTGGAGTCAACACACCCACAGGAGCCACCTTGCTCTGCACCTGCTGAGGGGGCTGCTGCCTCCCTGTGGAGGATTGTTTTTTTGAACACTGGAGGAATGGCTTCTCTCATGTCTCTGCTTCTTCTGGGGAACCAGAAACAGGGATTTGTGCCTGCCCCCTTTAAAATCACCACCATGCAGTTACAGCTCCCTGATAGGCACCAAATCACATGCTGTCGGCACTGGTGCACTTTGTACTCAGAAAGGTACTGCATGTAAGGGCTGCCGACTTTGGGTCAGATTGGGAGCAAAGAGCCCCCATAAGAATGATCCTGAGCCTCTTCTCACAATCCCCAAGTGTCCGCGGGTGAAAACTTTTACAAATACGGCAGTTTTCTTTCTGGTGTCTCTCACACAGACACTTGAAGCACTCAGTCACTCTTTGGCAGAAGCCTGGCAAGCTTTAAACCCCGGGGACTGAAACACAACCTGGTATGGGGAGAGGGGAGGTACCCCCTAACTGCTAACCCAACTATAACTAACAGCTGAGTAAACTATTAACAGACAAACAGGATACTACTAATGACACTTGGTAGAGCAAGAGGTTCCAGCTGCCATCACCAGGTTATAAGGAAGGACTGGGGAGTTGGTGGGTCAGCAGGGCTATATATTAGACACCATAATGACACCTCTCCAACTGGCACCCAGACTGACCCAAAGGATGCTGTTAAGTTAAAAAAATGTCAGCTTTCCTGCATGCGCATGCACGCACCACTGATTGTTTTTTCAAGTGCTTGTCCATGTGCATTCCAGAGCTCAGGCTCTTTTATCTAGCTCTTCAAGTGCAAAAGTATTGCCAAACTTTTTAAAAATAATTAATGTTACAACAACCGAATGATAAAATAATGTATATTATTTACAACTTTAAACACGTCTGTCTAATTCAAACTTAAAAACCTCAAAGTGACAGGGATCCCACAACCAGGTAATCCAGTTTTTCCCTAATAACTAATCTAAGTTTCTCTTGCTGCAAACTCAGCTGCTCATTTCTTGTCCATCCTTTGATGGACATAGAGAAGGACTGATCACCATCCTCTACATAACGTTTCACATATTTAAAGACTGCTGTCACCCTTCATTCTCTTTTCTAGACTAAACTTGCCCCATTTTTCAACCTTAAAGAAGTGCACCCCCAAGAATTTGGGCGCTGATTTAAGTATTAATGAAAGAGAGGTGTTCACAACAACAGCCAGAGCCAAAAGAGGACAAGGAATTGCTAGGAAAATGCTCTCCTTTGCTTTCCAGGGTACCTCCACAGTAGGACCAACAACAGGGTACTTATTGAGTGAAGACTGCCAATCATGCCAACTTATGTGGTACTTTTAAGAGGCAAACAGTGAGGAAGCAGGAGAGAAAAATCATTTCCTCTTAAGACATCAGCAAATGTCTACACCAACAGTAACAAAAATCTAAACATAATTAAGCTTATATTTTTGCAGATTTTGTGCCAACAACTGCAACATGGACCATGATGAAATAATCATGCAGTTTTCTTGAAAACAAGTCTGTATTTCATCCACTTAAAATGTATAGTGATGGTAACCGTGCAATTAATGGCATGCAAAGGTCTCTCTTTCCACCCCACAAGACTCCTCCCAGAGTGCCAGACTACTGCACTCTTGAAATAACCAAGGCTTTATATGATTGGGGGAGGGAAGAGGATGAGAGAAGGGTGCTTATTATTTAAAACAGACACGTTTGGTGAAAAGGGCAAAGTAGATGGAAGGTCAAGAGAAACAACATTTGAACTTTAGGCAGCAATAAGTTAGAAGCAAGGACAGGGCAGCCAGACTAAGCAAAAGAGGGGAGTGGATTTATATACATTAGCTATAGTTAATATTCACTTCATGATACAGCCCTTTCTCTCATTTCTTTCATTGGTCAAAGTGTAAGCTCTTTGTGCCAAGGACTAGGTCTAACTTTACATCTGTAAAATGCCTTGTACACGTTGGATGCTATATAATAAACAAATTGCTCATGATGGAACATGAAATTCAGATGTAAAGAAGCCAATGCCAGGTACAACAGTAAATCACAGGGACTAAATCAAAGCAGCCATCAAGATCATCAGAGCTAATCAAAAAAATTTCCAGTGGAACCAAAATGTTTCTTGGGCTGCCCGGCTCCCTTGATGCCCATCAAGAGGATTCCCAGGTCCTCTGCCAGGCTCCCAAGTTGCAACCTCCCCGGGGTTTCCCAATTAAAATGTGACAGGAAGGAATTTTTTCCTAGCCAGTTCTGGTCCCTATGCTTCTCTGCTCCAAGAAACCTTGTATCAGAGAGACAGAGACAGAAATCCAAGCACTTTGGCAGGACTAACTAGTACAGGCAGTCCCTTACTTACGCGGATCCGACTTGTGTCGGATCCGCAGTTACGAACGGGGCTGCCCCAGAGTACATGGACTGCGGGACCTCGCGGTCCTGCCGCCCGTGTACTCTGGGGCTTTCTCTGCGTCTCCCTGGTCTGCAGACCAGGAAGACGCAGAGGC